AAAAAAAAAAAAAAAAGACAGAGTTTGAGCCTAGACCAGGCAATTTAGAGACCTGGCAAGATACTGTTCCCAAATTTAAAAAAATAATAATAAAAATTTGGGCCCAGGGAGATAGCTCAGTAGAATAAGCGCCTGCCTGGCAAGCACAGGGTCCTGAGTTCAATCCCCTGGTACCACACACACACACACAATTTAAAATAGCAATAGGTGCGCTGGCATATGCCTAGTAATCCCAGCAACCAGGAGCCTACGGCAATTCAAGGCCAGTCTGGCTACGAAGACCAGCATAAAGTACCAAAACACAAAACAAACACTGGGGCTGGCGAAGGGGGCTGCAGTTCCATCCTTGGTACCACATACCATGCCAGCCCTGCCCTCAGAGTGGGCTAAGCCAGCAAAATAAATAAATTAAAAAATAAAAACTAAAGGGCTGGTGAGATGGCTCAGTGGTCTAAAGCACCTACTTAGAACAAGCTTGGCAAAGCACAGGGACCACGTGTTTGATCCCCCAGCACCACATGCCAGCCAGCCCCGCCCCCAGGTGGGTTGAGCTGGCCACACACACACACACACACACACACATAAATAAAAATTTAAAAAAAAAATAAAAATAAAAATAAATAAATAAATAAAAACTAAAGATTTGAGTTAACAAGGGAAATTTTTAATATGGTCTACTTTAGTCTCTCAGTCTATCAGAGTTCTACTTTAGAACTGTTTAGGTGCTATAAAACAGCAAAGAAATTCCCAGCGTTTGTTATGTCAACTTTTGGGGGCAAATAAGAGACAAATGGAAAGCATAAAACAATTCTGGTCAGTGGGTCAAAGACTTTAAAACAACTTTAAAAAAAAAATTGGTACTGGAGATCAAACTTAGGACCTTGCAGCTTCCCAGAAAAGCATTGCTATAATAAGGTGACTTACTCTGTATAACCCTGAAGAACACAGATCAGAGGATTTGTAATACTTACTAGGTTTTATATCCATGTGAACCAAAGACATTGAATGAATGTATCTTAAACCCCGGCCAACTTGCAAAAGAAGATCCTTCAACTCTAGTTCTTTAAAGTAACTCATGATTCTGTAGTTTTCACTTATAGCATCAGCTAAACTTCCACCTAACAAAAACAATGAAAATTACTTTTGTTGTTTCTGAAAGACTTACTCTTCTCTATTGAATATCTCAAGAAAGAAAGTGACAATTTATAGAAACTCCCAACCTGTTTGTGAAATCAAATGTTCATTTATGCTCTTAACACTTATACATTCATAAGGATCAAAATACAACTTTAAAAGAAAATCTCTCACCCTTAAAACCCAACAACTTACCTGGTGCTCTTCCCAGATCACTATACATTAATATTACCAGTTTCTTATGTATTTAGGGGGGAGGAGGAGTGTCATACTGAAGACTAAACCCAAGGCCTTTGCATGAGCTGTACCATCAGTTTTCTTTTAAGACAGGGTCTCACTAAATCCTTTGCTGTGTCACTAGGTTGCCCAGTCCCCAGCTTAAACCTTTGATCCTCCTGCCTCATCTTTTTAGACTGCTGGCATTACAGAGAGCACAAGCTAGGGCCAGGGAGATAGCTCAACAGCATAAGCACCTGCCTGGCAAACGCAAATATAGAGTTTGATCCTTGGTACCAAAAAAAAAAAAAAAAAAAGGGAAGGAATGAAAAGAAATAGAGCATGAGGTCTTTCATTGTTTTTGGAAACAGTCTTGCTATAACTTTTTTTTTTGGTGGTACTGGGGATTGAACTCAGGACCTTAGGCTTGCCCAGGCAGGCGCTTATGCCCTTGAGCTATCTCCCCAGCAGTCTTGCTATAATATAAAGGCTAGCTGATCTCAAACTTGTGTTCTACCTGCCATAGCCTTCCAAGTGCTGGACTGTATGTGCAAGCCACCACTACACCCATCCTTGCATGTTCGTTTTGTGTGTGTGTCAAGAATCAAACTTAGGGGCTGGGGAGATGGCTCAGTAGAATAAGTGCTTCCCTGGCAAGTACAAGGGCCTGAGTTCAATCCCCGGTACCGGGGGAAAATAAAGAAAGAATCAAACTTAGCCCCGGTTCCGCAAAAAAAAAAAAAAAAAAAAAAAAAATCAAACTTCGAACCTTACGCTTCCTGGGCAGATGCTGTATCACTGAGATAACCCTGGCCCCCTACTTATGTATTCTTTTCTTTTTTCTTTTTGTATTCTTTTCAATGAGTGTATTTATTTTATTTATTTATTCATTTATTTAGTGGTCAGCTCACTCAGTTCTGGGGGCAGGGCTGGTACGCCACATGGTACCAGGAATTGAATCACAGTCCCCATGCGCTTGCCTAAGCAGACACCTGACCACTGAGATATCTTGACAGCCCTTTTCAATGAGTTTTGTTTTTGGCGGAACCAAGGATTGAACTCAGGCCCTTGTGCTTGCCAGGGAAGCACTTATCCTACTGAGCCATCTCCCCGGCCCAAGGCCAAGGCCATTCTGTACTACACAGCCAGACTCTTTTCTTTAAAAACTTGCACTTCTCTGGCAAGCACAAGGGCCTGAGTTCAATCCCCGGTTCCGCAAAAAAAAAAAAAAAGACGACTCTGGATTTCATTTCCACTGGAAAGGAAAAAGAAAACTAGTCAGAACCAACTGTAAGTTTATACTTTGCATCCTAAGAAATGAGTTGTTAAGCCAAGCATGGTGGCACATACCTGTAATCCCGATACTTACCCAGGCTCAACTGCATAGGGACACTGTCTCAAGAGTTGCAGGGGCTAGGGAGGTGGCTCAGTGGAATTTGCGCTTCCCTGGCAAGCACAAGGGCCTGAGTTCAATCCCCAGTTCCGCAAAAAAAAAAAAGTTGCTAGGGGCTGGGGAGATGGCTTCCCTGGCAAGCGCAAGGGCCTGAGTTCAATCCCTGGTCCCGCCAAAAAATAAATAAATATAAAAATAAATTTAAGAGTATCACAGGTTCAAGGCTATCAAGGAGGCAAGTTACCTGGATTTTGTCTCATAATAAAATTTAGTAACAGCTGGCATGTCCCTTAGTGTTGACTATTTTATTGCCCCAAGAAAAGGAGAAAGTTAGATATAGTGAGAATCCACTACGAGCCAGGCAAATAGCACAGAGGATTAAATCCCTGCTAGCAGACACAGGGGGTTCAATCTCATGCCACTGTCAGCCCCACCCCACCCCACCCCTGGGGCAAGCTGAGAGGCAATTGGCAATTGAGACTGGGCATGGTGGCCTGCCTGTAATCCCAGCTCTTGGGAGGCTGTAAATAGACTGAGCACTATGAGTCGATCTAGTAGTGAGACTCACCCTGAACACCCTACTGTAGACCCTTCCCTAAAATACAAAAAAAAAAAAAAAAATCCACTAAACAACCATCTAGGCTATGGTATCATTCAAAGTTCATATATGAAGGGGCAGGGGAGACAGCTCAGTTGAGTAAGTGCTTGCCTGGCAAGTGCAAGGGCCTGAGTTCAATCCCTGGCTCCTCAAAAAAAAAAACAAAAAAACAAAAAAAAAACAACAAAGCTTATGTATGAGAGAGACACAACACTGTGAGATGGGGCCTAATAAGTTTGCAGCCTCCAAAACCATAAGCCAAATAAATGTCTTTCTTTTTTTGGCAGTATCAGGGATTGAACTCAGGACCTTGCACTTGCCAGGCAGGCGCTTATGCCACTGAGCTATATCTCCGGCCCCCTTATATATTAGCCAATATAAGACATTACTTTTTTTATTTTTTGCGGAACCGGAGACTGAACTCAGGCCCTTTATTCTACTGAGCCATCCCCCCCCCAATACTTTAAAGCAGCAAACTTTAAACGTTTCTTGGGGGGGGAGTGTTTCTTGAAAACAAGGTCATACTATGTAGTACAAAGCACAAAGGCCAGAGCCAGGGGGATAGCTCAGAAGAATAAATGCTTGCCTGGCAAGCGCCAAGGGCCTGAGTTCAATCCCCGGTTCCACAAAAAAGAAAAAGTAATAAAAGGGGGCCAGGGAGATGGCTCAGTGGAATAAGCGCTTCCCTGTCAAGTGCAAGGGCTTGAGTTCAATCCCTGGCTTTGCAAAAA